AATTCATCCACGGGCCGCATTTGGCCCGCGGGCCCCAGATAAAGATTGAAAGGAGTAAAGCCTGTGTTAATGCTATTGAGAAGGCTAATATGGCCAAAGAAGATATTTTGTTTTATAAATAAATGTTCATTTAAAAGCAACCCCCAATCAGCGTGTTATGTTACTGTTATACCTTACGGATCCGACGAGGTTTTGTTCCGTCCTCCACGCTGTGACAACTCACAAAAGACTATTTTTAGCCAAGCAGCGCAGAGAGCTGCTTCAGAAACGTGCCGCGGCTGGCTGGTATAAACACAAGCATTAGCCGTAACGCACCACAGACGTAAGTGTAGTGAGTACCGATCGAGTCATAAAATGTGATTATCGGCCAAATCCCGATCTCCGGTCGATCGATCGGAGCATCCCTAGCAATAATACTTCATATTATGACAATTTTGTAATTTTGATCAAATAAATGCAGCATTGGTGAGCATGAGAGATTTCTTATAAAAACACACAGACCACAAACCTTTGAACAGTAGTGTAACTAGAGGACACAGCCACACAGAGAAATCATATCCACAATGCAATGTGGGATAGTGCCTTCCATTTACAAACACATGAACCAAACACAAAGAATGTGTGTACATGCACAATAAATGATAACTATTAAAAAAAATGATAACTATTAAAGAACAACTTAATCTAATAAAGCAAACAACACTAGCGTGTTGACAACGAGTCCGGTTCACACATGAGACCTCAGAAAAATGCTACATTTACAGCAAATCTGTATTCTTATTCTACTGTAGAGCTTTATAGACCACTGAAGCAGTCTGAATCAGAATTACATTCTACTCTGAATCAGGGACTTTCAGAGCTCAAGTGATTTCAGAGCAGAAGTGGTTATGAGAGCATTTAGTAATCGTGAGTGAGTCACCTTTGAGCAGGGGAAGAGGTGTGAGTTCGATTGGTTTGCCCTGAGAGCGGAACTGTGAGGAACTCTGAGAACGTTTCTGCTTGGCTTTCCGGACAGACTTCCGGGAAAATCCGTCTACTTTATCCACTGATGGAGGCGTGGTGGCTGCGGAGGACATAGCCCTGGAAAAAGAGAGCAAGGTGTGTAAGACAACACATCAACACTGCAACAAATGCATCAGCATGTGCATTTTGCAAATATTTGGGGGGGATCTAATATTGCACCAAAATTACATGTGCATCTCTGTGGTATGTGTAAAAATATATCCCATCAATAGTCCTTGGGCAAATGAGAACAACTGAGGGTTATAATGTCCAACATAAGATCTTAACCTCAGCTTTCAAAATAAATCCCCTCCCACGATCATATGATCACAAACATTTAAAAATACTTCCTTGAAGTGACCATTGCCACCAGGCTCACTTTGCTAACAATGCTAAGGAACGGCCCATTTTTAATGGATTCATTTGCTCTGTTTTGTTTGGAAACAACCCTACATGAAGTGTCTCCAAGTTTTGACTTTGCTTTTGATCTTCATTTAAAATTACACAGAAATGCTGGGACAATACTTACCAGTCATAAACGCTACAGATTTAGTTAGTGGGTTGTGCATGTATAAGAGCCCAGATTTTGAGTAATGAATGAAAGTATATAACAGTCAAAGAAACACTACCAAATGTTTGTATAATGACCATAATCGTCTTCATTTAATTTGCTATGGCTATAAACAACTGCTTGTTAGTCATTAACATGATCACTCTGTAAAGTTTTTAGATGAATACAATTAGAGAACACAAACATATTTTGCATCATCTCGAGTCTAATATTTGCAAGGCACTCAGTAATTAATTATGAACCAAAATATTTACAGGTAAACACACTCCTAATGTCACTGACAGTAATCAGGCTACATAATTACATAATGATTAATAGCGAGTTATTCCTGCAAAACAACACATACACAAAAGAAAACAATATCTGTGAACTCAGATTCTGTAGGAACCTGGCAGGAGTGTTCTATGATGGATTAAATAATTCCAGATATTTAAGTGTGTAGTGGAAAAACAAGATAAAAGAGTATGTCAAGTTGCTCTCCAGCAGCACCGTAAACAGCCATTAGTTGTACTGAGGTCTTCAGATCAGTGATGTGTGTGTGTATTTTCATTATGTCTGTGTTTTGCAGGTCCAGTGTAAGCAGCACTAAATCCAGACCTGTTTTAATGCCTTCGGACAAAGAAGTTTGCAATTCAAAAGCAACTGTAATTATAAAACAAACCACAAATGGCTATAGGAAGGAAATGTGGTGGTAAAATGAAAATCTAGGCAGGAGATGTAAATAAAGGCAGGAATGCACACTGCGATGAAAGATAAAACAGAATGAAAACAAATTCATAAGCAAAAAAAAAAAAAACTATTTTGATGAAAGGAGGTGTGTAGAACACAGCAGGATTCTGTTGACCAAAAAAGTCTGGATCAGGTTTTTTCACAGGTCTATTGGTGTCAGCTTAAATTACATGCATGATATTAAAGCAGATAAACACACAGAATTAACAGGTAGAATGAGAAAGAAAAAATAAAAACAACAGGCCAGGGAAGCAGAGAAGGAGAGAAAGACCACCTAAAATTTCCTTTGATCATGCTAGTGGAACTCAAGAAGCTTAAGTCATAGATGTAGAACTGAACTCAGTTATTTTGTGTCTCTTGAAAGCAAAATCTCTGAGCTGACACAAATGAATTTGCACAGAAAAGTAAATTTCAACTGATTATCTGAACTGGACAGTCCAAAACCAGTGTGGTCTTTAATCCGACTATTCAGAGCACTTTGATATTGCAGTCTGAGAGGTTTAAATTAGCAGCCATCAAACGAGTGAGATGCTGCCAACGTCTATTGATGACATCCCATAATGCTGCACTGTGCAGCCCACCACAAACAATGTCATCCCTTTTCTGAGCCACTTCTCCTGTTCTCAGAAACAACAGGCCTGGCAGTATCACTACCTGTAAAAGGAATAAACCTTCTCGCTCATGTACAAGAACAATGAATGCAAGCAACAATCGCACAAGAGAACATTGACGAAAACACATAAGGTCAGCAGAAATCAATTAACACAAGCAGTCATTGTGGTTAAGACTCTGAGAATGTCCCAAAGCTGAGATAAGTCACATTTTACCCCAAAATCAACAGAAAGAAAAACAAAACAATTTGATTAAAAAAAAAAAACACCCACGATTTTTGTGCGATTATTTAAAAAAAAAAAGAAAAAAAAAAAAGCGTAAAGCACATTTACACCATAAATCTCATTATCACAATGCAAAAACTGATATAAATTATTTTAAAAACATATATAAAACATAAATAAAAAATACGTGTTGGTAGTATTTGCTGCATTTAAATGAATCAGTGACTTAAATCAACCTTGAAATCAACATAAATGCACCAAATACTACCAACATATGTAAGATTTATATTACAACGTTTTTACTGTAATAGCAAAAATTATATTATGAGAAACTAAAGGAAAAAAGTACTTAATTGACATGAAAATAATGCATACATATTTTAATTACTGTAAAAAAAAAAAAAAAGTTGTAATTATGCAAAGAAATATAATGTGGAGTGAAATAGGACCAGGACATAAAAATTTGTAAGAATGATAAGGTGAGAGCAGGAAAAATATCCATGTTCCTTCCTCTCCTGTTATAAAGTTCACCCTGGTTTGACATTCACATTGAGATTTCTGTATGAGACCAAGACACCGACAACAAACTTCTGCAAAAAAAGAAAAAAAACTAAAACCCTTACTCAGCCCATTTTAACCTTAGCACAAAATGCATCTTTGTCTACACAGATAGATAGATAGATAGATAGATAGAATCAAGCAATCTCTATTGCAGTGCAACTGGGCTAGTTTATGATATAGTGAGAGATAATCCCAAATGTCCATGCTGTTCAGCGATCCAGCCCTGTATAAAGATCTGCAGGTATAAAAACATCCCAGGGCTTAACCACTGGATTGACTGACAAAGAAGTGAACCCAGCAACCACAATCTACGAAACACTCATGCCCCGCCATTAAGCTAAAACACACTGCCACTGATGCCCTGGCCCTAATCTCTATAACCAGGTATTTAGAGATAACCTTTCCCATTGGTTTTGACTGAAGGTCACCCAAAACAACCAGTCCTACTGTAAACCACTCGTGGGATGTATGTGTTGTTGTTGGTGATGAGATATTGCAACTGCCAAACTGCCAGGCAGCTGAAATGAACCAGACCATGGAAACAGGGCACAGAGGCACAGTGCCACTGAGCCAAAGCAAGAAGTTGGCAAAGAATAGAGGAGTAGTGATCAGAACAACTTGTATTTGGTGGGTTAGTCCGTAATGAATAGACACAAAGTTTGGAGATTCACAAGAGCAATTTGGCACTGTGGTTCCTTCAAAAAGGACAGAAAAAAAAGTGGAAACCTCTGAAATTCTACAGTCCATATGAGTGCAGATGATGCAGGTTCATGATCTCCTAATGATTTACACACACACACACACACACACACACACACACACAAGCAGCTGACAAAGACCTACTGCATTCCAGAACACCAATAAAACAAAAACAGATGAAGAACAAGCTTTCTTCAAGGATTTTCACTCATACACCCATTCAAATGTTGCTTTACAGTCAGACATGTGTGAGAAATATAAAAAGCATGATTACATTTTTTCCCCTTTAGGTACACAACCCCTAACAAACTCTGTATAAAAAGTATTCTTAGACCTTAACTTCATTTATTTGACATATTTACTTTGGTATATGAAACACCAAAACGTACCGGATCTAAACTTGAGCAGGATAGGCAAAAACCATTCAAATATTTTATTTACCTTGATGTTTTCGATGTGAGGAGCTGATTTGGGTGTTTTTAACCGTCTTTCCTCCTTCAAGGCCTCTTGAAGCAGCAGAAAAAGAAAAAGAAAGACACAAAATCGGTTTTTGGCCTTAAAAACTGCCAAACCCACAGCAATAATCCCATCAAACACTCAAATTTCCGACGATAGAAAAGGATCCAGCTGAAATACGAACATCCCCAGGTATCTCTTTATGTCCACACACCGCGTTAATATGTTATTTTAATCCAGAAAATATGTTTTATTAGGGAATATCGGTCCCTTTTTCGCCCTATCGTCAATATTACTGGGCTGAGTCCATGGCACACATAACACGGACGCGCTCTAGGCTGCTGGGCCGGGTTCGGGCCTACAGTGCCACGCCATTGGTCAGTTTGAAGATTCCTCGGAACATGATTGGACGATGTAGGTGTCAATCACCACGCATGGGAGGGAAAAACTCTAGGCTTCTCTAACGATGAATAGAGAAGTTGGGTTGAGGTGTGTGCGAGTAGGAAAGAGAGTCACCTTACTATTCTGTCTTATTGATCTACTATTTTAATTGTTATGTACTTTGTTACAATGTAGTAAAATAACTATATAATTAATATTAAAATCTGGAACACTTTGCCAATACTAAGTTTATTAAGAAACCAGTTTCTAAAGCTATATCTATCGTGAAAAGCACTAAACAAATAAAAATGAACTGAATAGAACAAAAATAATTCATAGCACTAATGCATCTTTATTCAGAATGGCGACAGTCTGGACAGGGAAAAAGAAAAGGAAATAATCAATCTCTTCAGGAATGAAGTTAAACCTGTATAAGAGCCCAGCCCATATGAGGAGCGTCTCATTCCAAAGAAGAGCACACCTGGCGTGAACTATCAGCACATCGCACGAGCATCAGGATCATATGGCATCTTTTACTCTCGGCTATGGTTTCATGTATGCTTCAGGAAATGAGTGACGAGAGCGCGCGCGTAGGCACCGACGTCATTGCGTACACAGGGAATGGCTGATTACGCAACAGAGACGCTCTGGGCTGTTTCATTGAAGTTCAAACAATAGTGTCATTGCTACGATTCAGTGCCTTCTGGGCTTTGAAAGGTTTGTAAAATGAAACCTATTTATGAAACCTACTTATGTTTCATCATAAACGGGGACATGTTAAAGTGAATAAATTACCTTAGTCCAGTGAATATATAGCCTAATGTTTTTTTTTTAATTTGTGAAATTTGAGGCTTAGACCTAAAGCAGCGAGTAATAAAATACATTTATTGTTTTTAACCAGCCCATTAGAAGCATACTACTTTTTTTATATATATAAATCTGCAATTCCATAACTTGTATTGGGGATTGAAAGGCACCAAACTGTAAAAATGATGTAACGTTAGTGGTATTAATGCGTTTTAGAAATTAAATAAATAAATGACAGTTGCTTGCTGGGGATTTTATGGTGGCTTCCAATTCAGATAAATGTATGCATTTGAAACCGTAATTCTTTACTGTATATTTAAGGGCATTTACAACACACATAGCATCCACAAACACCACGCAATTGACAGTTTCTCAGTTTGTCTCTCAGCAGTCATTTCTTGTGCTAGATGCCAAATTCCGAATTCACATCACTTTCTGCGACATTGTTGAATATTATTGATGGTGGGCAGTTTCCGATCGATGGAATACGAACAAATGAACAGGGCTGTCCTGTTGTGGCATGTCTTGAATTCAGCATAGTATACCTCACCAGGCTTACATTACATCAGAATTATTAGCTGGACTCTCATCCTCAGTGTTTACACTGAGAGAATCAAACACTGAAAACTAGAAGCTACCCTGAAAAGTGCGTGACACTGTGGAGCTCATAAATCTCAGAGACAAACGCGCCTGTTTAAAATTCACATTTGCATTTCAAAGCACACTCAGTAGTTATTCAAGATCACTAATGAGATTCAACAACAACAACAAAAAACTCAGGATAAAATGAGAGATTATGAAGTTGTAGAATTAATTCTGCAGCTCTTGAGATCAAAAACAATCAAAAACTATTTCTATTTACAATTTCAGAAGTTCTTATGGGTTAGTCCATGCTAAAAAGTAACAAAAAACACAAAACATACATTTCTTGACAGATGATTTTGTCAAATGCATTTGCTAAGAACATAACCACCATTTTTGTCCATGAATGTAAACCCTTTGCATAGAAAGAATGCAGACATGGTGTGATTATGGTTGCACTTTGCATAATTGATTAGAAAGTGATTCTGACATTGTATCTCAGTGGTGCTGATGCAGCCCTCCAAGGTACATATAAAAACATTTAAGACAAGATATTCCAGAAAATCCCCATGCATTAAAGGAATAGTTAAAAAATAAATAAATAAATAAGAATTGCTGATAATGTACTCACCCTCATGCCAGCATGTAGATGAGTTTATTTCTTAATCGAAACAGATTTGGAGAAATTTAGCATTGTATCACTTGCTTGGATCCTCTGCAGTGAATGGGTGCCGTCAGAATGAGAGTTCAAACCAAAATTTCTCCAAATCTGTTCTGATTAAGAAACAAACTCATCTACCTCTTGGATGGCCTGAGGGTGAGTACAATTTAAGATAATTTTCATTTTTGGGTTAACTATTCCTTTAATACAATACAGCTTCAGTTTGTAGTCCTGAAACCCAGAAGACAATTTTTTCATTTTCAAGTCATGTGTTTAACCTCAAAGGTGATCTTATGAAACACTTTTAAAACACATGTTGCAAACAAAACACAAGAAATGTAATGTTTTACATAAGGACAACAACTACCACATAGATGAGAGTTTATCTGCTGGACAAATCAAACAACAGTTGTAATTCTTATGTAGCAATTTGTTCACAACTTACATTTTAAAACCACAAAACTGTTTAAATTCTGCCAATGTCTATAATAAGCTATACGTTTTATAAGGCAGAAGATTCTAATTTAGTCTCCATAAAGCGTATCTTTATCTATTATCCCTACATTTGTGAAAACAAAGGCATCAGAGCAAAGTAGCTTAGTGCACTTTGCAATTTCTCTGAGAATTCTGTCAAATAACCGATTTGTTTCAGTGTCAACTGTCTCTTGATGTAATCATGCTAGTTTTGAGCGGTCTTTCTGTATAGCTTGTTTTCTGTGAGCTTTAGTTTTGAGCTGCATGGAGGAGATGCTTTTCAGAGAATCTTTCTTCCCCACACTGATTTCCTCTGCTCCTGCTTTCCACTGCAACAACTGGCCATCCTCCCCACCCGTCAACAGAGATTGACTGATCGCATCCCACTGGAAGCACCTCACTGTAGCTGAATGACCCCCTTTGAGGGATTTAATGAACCTCAGACCATGCCCACTGCAGTCCAGGAGGTGGAGCTCTCCATGATTACTCCCTCCCACTAACAGAATACGCTCCTCATCTGACAGCCATGTACCGCCCACAAAGTACTCAAGCGAGGCTCCATCAGGGAGCTGGACAAGTGCTCGAGCATCAGCCGAACTCAGAAGGGTCAGAGTGTCATCGCTGTCTGGGCGAGCCACGTCCCACAGGTGGAGCCCTTCATCATGGGTCAGACAAAGCAGCTGGTCAAGATCTTTGCCTGTTAATAGAAGAAATTAAATGACAGTTTAGGGTTCTGGGGAGTACAAATTTGGTGATGTTTAACATTTTAATTCAAATAGAATTTGAAACTCACATTTTCAGCCGTTTTTTGTTACTTGATAATAATACGTTTTAAATAGTTATGTCATCTTAAATAGCCAATCTGAATATGCAAATGCTTACAGGGTTCCCACACATTTTATCCAATTAACTGAAAGTAAATGTACTTAGAAAAGGCCATTTTTAGTCAATTAAATATTTTACAGCAAAGCATAGCTAAAAAAAAGTATATATTCGATACTATTATCAGTTTGCCTGTTGTTATTGTTTGATTATATTCATATCAAGTGAATTCATTTTAAAAATCATTATTATTGTTTACATTTCCATATTTACAAAAATGTATATTATTTATATAATTGTTTTTTTATTATTATTGATAAATTTTATGTCATATATTACAAAAATGTACATAAAATAACATATATATTCATATATATTACATAAAAGTGACTGCATAATTTGTAGCAGATTATTTTACAGCATACCAATTCCTATTTATTATTAAATTCAATATTTTGAAAAAGTGTTACAGGCCTGGTCATCACAATCTAACACCTAAGCATACCAAGAAAAAAAACCCTGAATATATGAATATATTAGTAGTAGTAGTAGTAGTAGTAGTGGTAGTAATAGTAGTAGTATGTCATAGAAATTTGTAAAAATCGTCATCAAAGGCATGGTCATCATTACAATTTAATAGCTAAGCATACCAGGAAAAAATATTCTTTATGATTATTATTATGATTATATAAACATTTCAATGTCATAGAAATGTTTAAAACATCTTAAGAAGCATTTTACAAGCCTGGTCATCACAATTTAATAGCTAAGCATGAAATCTTTATATAATAATAATTATTATTATTATTATATTTTTAATATTAATATTTAAAAAAAAAAGCATTTTACAAGCCTGGTCATCACAATTTAATAGCTAAGCATGAAATCTTTATATAATAATAATAATAATTATTATTATATTTTTAATATTAATATTTAAAAAAAAATTAAACATGGAAGTGTTTTACAGGCCTGGTCATCAAAATTGAAATATTCTGATATTTTAAATGACTAAGGGAACTCTGTTTCGTGTACATTTTGACAAAAAAAAAATACTGCTCAAGTTTTACTGTTATATAGTTTGGATTGCTCAGTCAGGTGTGTTGTTGCTGCCTACCTGTCCAGCAGAGGGAGCTTGCAGAGGAATTGCAGTTACAGGTGGTGACAAGAGCATCCTCCTCTCCACCCAGACTCAGATCGAACACGTTCACAAGCCCATCTGTGGCTCCAGAAGCCAAGCGGTCTGCCTGCCGTGGGTGGAACTTCACCGTAGTGATGTCATCACTGTGTGACTCTGAGTAAACGCCCAGCAGACCGCCCATCTCACCTCCATCCCGAACCATACGGGCATCCCAGAATACTAAAAAACTGTCCTCCCCCACCTGCTCCGTGCCTGCGCACAGCACACGATCACTACAGCTCACATCAAACGAGAGGTACGAATGTGTCAAATCGCTGCGGAACACCTGGGTGGCATCAGAACCAGGCCGCCGGACGTCCCAGCACCGCAGTGTCCCATCGGCGGAGCCGCTGAACAGCAGGTGAGGGGAGAGATGAGAGAAACGCACCCCACACACAGGAGCCGTGTGACCATGGAAGTCACCCACCAGGCGGAGCGTCTCTCTG